CCCACCGCTCCTCCGGCCGCGCTTCGCCGCTCACCCGCGCGCTGGCTGCCCCTCGCGCCTGCGCCCACTGGGGGGCGCTCCCCTCCCACCCCATGCGTCCAGACGCGGGCGCTTCCGAGTCCCCAGCGAACCTGCGCCCGACCCAGGGTGCGCGCGCCGCCTCCTACCTGAGGCCCGGCGATGGAGGCGGATGGAAGGGCTGAGAGAAGCTGAATAAGATCGTGGAGCGAGGCGGGAGGCCAGAAAACGGGGCCGCGGTGGACTGTCCGGGCGCGGGCGCGCGCACGCGCGCGCGTGCCCTGGCCCCTCGCTCCCTCAGTCGACTCCCGGCCAGAACCCAACCCTGCTGCCGCGCGCCACCTGCCTCGCCGCGCCTAATAACAACGGCACCCGGGGTCAGGTGGCCGCGCGCGGACAGCGCCGCCATTGGCTCGGCGGGGAGCGCAGGGCTTCAGGATTGGCTGGGGGGTGGGGTCTCAGCCGGTGGGGGAGGGGCTTGACGGGAGGAGGGCGGGAAGGCGGGTAGGGAGGCGGGGCGGCCGGCGCCGGGGGCGGGGCCAGGCCGTGGTCCGCGCCTTTGTGCCCGACGCGCGCTCTCCGCCCGCTCCGGCTGCAGCGTCCGCTGCATCAATAATTCAGAGCGGCGGCGGCGGCAGCAGCGGCGGTTGCGGGAAAGAGACGGCGGAAACAGCGGGGACCGAGCCACAGCGGATATGCATCCAAGTGCGGCTGGGCAGCCGCGGCACCCCTGAGGCCCGGGCGGGGCTCTGGGAGCGTCGCTCGGGGGGCTCCCTTGCCCGGGAGTGCAGGAAGAGCAGTAGTGACCAGAGCGGTGTCGGCAGAGCTGTGCACGGAGCTGAGGCGGGGGCTTCGGAAAGGGGCTGGGGCGGGGGGGGCGGCTGGCGCAGGCAGCCCCCGGGGTGGGGGGCGGGGTGGGCGCCGGTGCCGCGATGCTGGGCGTCGTGGAGCTGCTGCTGCTGGGGGCGGCATGGCTGGCCGGCCCGGCCCGCGGGCAGAATGAGACCGAGCCCATCGTGTTGGAGGGCAAGTGCCTAGTGGTGTGCGACTCCAACCCCACGTCCGATCCCACGGGCACAGCTCTGGGCATCTCCGTGCGCTCTGGCAGCGCCAAGGTGGCTTTCTCTGCCATCAGAAGCACCAACCACGAGCCGTCCGAGATGAGTAATCGCACCATGATCATCTACTTCGACCAGGTGAGTGTTCTGTACGTATTGGGTGGGTGGGGGCTGGGGGAGAGGTGCCAGGTAAATGCCCGATTCTCACCGAGGTCTCTGCGGAGGCTTGGGCGCAAGAGTTCGGGACTGACTCTTGCCTACTCGCCTTCATACCTGTTTCATTATAGGTACTAGTGAACATCGGGAACAACTTTGATTCAGAACGCAGCACTTTCATCGCCCCGCGCAAAGGGATCTACAGTTTTAACTTCCACGTGGTAAAAGTCTACAACAGACAGACCATCCAGGTCAGCCGCAGCCTCAGGGCCAGACCTGGGCCCTGGTAGGGTGCTCCTAGTCCCGGGAATGAGCAGGTGGGAGATAGAAGAGGGTAGGTGCAGGTGTCCCGGGGATGCTTGGAGGGGCTGGCAACAGGACTTAACGTTTCTGCCCCTTGCTTCCTCTGTCGTCGACTCTCAGGACCTAATCCTCTCCCCAGAGAATTTCCTTCCTCCATCTTCTTGATCCCCCCAAAGAAGGGGTTTCCAGCGAACTGAAAGAATTTCACGTAGCAGTTGCTGTTCCCGCTTCCGGAAGCTTTTTGCGACCCTCGCTCTCCGAACCGAGAGCTGGTTCCTGGATGCCCTGCGCTGGCTCCCAAGCTCTGGAGACGCCTGTGCACTTGGCCCTACGCACCAAACTCAGCGGGCTCCCGCTGTCCCTTTGGGGAACGACTCCGGGTTTTTTAACTAATAGCGCCTCCGTGCCCTAGCGGGTGAGGCGTGTAGAGAGCTGAAAGGGTCATAGTGCACTCCCTCCTGGCTCCAGCCTTGCCTCAGCCAGCACCCACCGCTTTCCAGGTTCGCAAAGGTGTCCTCTGAGCTGAGACCGACAGCAGAACACAAGGTTGGGGGTCGGGCACCAGGCCTCCGACTGCTGATGCCATTGCAGGGGCAAATCCAGGCGGGCAGGCTGGATCTGGGGAGGGTTGAATGTCAAAGAGCCGCCCCTGCGAGTCTTCAATGTATTGTGGCTCCTGGGGTCTGGAGGAACCTGGGGTTTTATTTATTTGTTTTTGAGTGTTTGTTTTTGCTAACTAGAGTTGCCTGAATTTGTCTTTGAAGCTAGAAGAAGAAGGGAAGTGCGGGTGGGGGAAGCTGGAGAAAGGCCTGAGATCTCCAGGAGCCTGAGCCACGGAAGGGTTCATTAAATGGGGTAAAAGAGCACAGCCCAGATGGCTTGGCAGGCTCCAGGAGTGCAGGTGACTCTCATCGGGGGTAGACCCTCCTCTCACCCACATGGGCCGTCTTTAGTCCCAATCCACCCTCTCTAGGAAGCTGGAGAGCTCCCTTTCCTCCTGCTTCTCAGCCCCTCCCGGGCCTCCCAGCCTTTATGGACGGGCTTTTCAGACATTTCATGTCGTCTCCGCTGCTCTTTGATTCCTGCTTAGATTCTGTGTCTGAAGTGGGCCCTTCTCTTTCTCAGGTGAGCCTCATGTTGAATGGTTGGCCGGTGATTTCAGCCTTCGCTGGTGACCAGGACGTGACCCGGGAAGCTGCCAGCAACGGAGTCCTTATCCAGATGGAGAAAGGCGACCGAGCATACCTCAAGCTGGAGCGGGGGAACTTGATGGGGGGCTGGAAGTACTCGACATTCTCCGGATTCCTGGTGTTTCCGCTCTGACTGGCTCCTCCGTGGAATGGAGGCAGGGAGAGAGAGGGCCAAGGCGGGAGTCAGGCAGGAGGGGGAATGAGAAAAAGCTGAAATCTAGAGGACGATTAAGTGGCAGGACTTGAAACTTCCTACAAGTTGCCCAGCTGTATTGGGGTAAAAGGTGCGCCCCAGTTGTGGGACACTCAATCTGTTTCCTCCTTAGGCGACTTAATTCTGCTTAGCTCTGCACACTCCCATTTCCAAAAATAAACTTGCCTCCCCATTGCAGTTGCAGTAATCTAGAGAGAGAGAGAGACTGCCTTGTCATTGTTTCTTACCCCATGTTTCGGTCCCTATAATTCATAAGGAAACTTTGTATTTCACTGTGTAGCGTGAAATATCTTCCTCCTCAGTCACCCTCTGAATGGTTTCACCTGCTGAAATCTTCAGTGCCCCTTCCCTCTTTTTAGTCTGGAGGAGGAGGGCAGGTAAGGGTTTGTTGGTTGTTGTTTTTTGTTTTTGTTTTTGTTTCGAATGGGAGAGGCAGTTTTAATTTGGCAAGTACTGCTGATCTTAAAACAGGCTCAAGAGTTAATAGCTGAGGATACTTTGTGTCCTCAGCTGCTTGTTCAAAGAAAGGACTCACCTTAGTGGTGACAGGTTTAAAAAAAATATATGTATAAATATATATCATTTGTACACGAAGAACTTTTCCCAGTGGAAACTGGCTGTATTTCCGTATTTCTATGTCCTATTCGGAGTGATCGTGAAATCTAAGGCTGCTTGATGTTCTGATGCTTGTCAATGCCCTAGTGTCCTGTGACTCCACTAACCGCCAGGAGGTTCTTCCCGGACGCTTCTTCGTCCTCTGTAACATATGTGTGAATAGCCAAGATTTACATTTACTTTAATCCAATAAAGTTGAAGTGGGACTTTTATTTTTCTGAAACAGCTTTCTAAATTCCGCACCACCCCCCAGTGCGAAGGGCGGAAGATGGGTGCGAAGGGCAAATTTCCGAGGTTCTGGAGACTTGGGAGATCTGCAATGGAAAGGCCAGGATGCCAGGGCCTCCCGGAGAAGCCAGCCTGCCTGCGCTCCTCCCTGCTGCAGGCCTGGGGCCAGCTCTGCCTTCCCCTATGCTCCGTGCTTTGGGGGAAACCTAAGAAATTTGGCCGCAATCTTGCTAGACCAGGCGCGGCTGCCGTCCTGGAAATGAAGTTTGGGTTTTTCTCAATCCAAATACATCAGGAATAATTCCAGCTCGAGGAGCCAGAACCAGCCTGCCCGGAGAGGCACGCTTTCCACACCTTCTGCCCATGGATTTTTCCAACCCTCGGCTGCTCCAAAATGATCCCTGCAGCGTATATTTGATACCACCGCCTGTGAATCCGGAGTCCGCCGCCGTATTACCCAGGCGCCCGGGACCTGTGATTGCGCTCATCGCTGAACTTTTATCCAAAAGGTTCGCCCAGGAGTTTTGATTGTTTCGGAACATAATGTGAAAGCAAAATTGAAATAAACGACTTCGTTTTAAATCTGAAAGTCTGACCCAATCCCTTCCGCAACGGGAGGTCTGGCACAGGAAAGCGGGTGGGCATTCAAAGGTAGGAGCCTGGGGCCCTGGCGTGGCTGTGCTCCTTGGTTTCTCCTGTGAAAGGCTATTTCCCAGCCAGAGATTCAGGCAAGAATTTGGTTAGCCGCCGGCCCTGGCCCCGGGCCCCCGGAAGGGGGTGCATTCACAATAGCTTAAGTAACCTTCCCGGATTTGTTCCTCGACTTGTTTGATGAAAGGATTCACCGACTGAGCGGCTTGCTTTAAAACGCTAGTCCCGTTTGTCCTCTGAGCTTTTCAGGGAATCGCAGCTCTGGCCGCTGGACTCACCGCAATAGCTAGGTAGGGACAGCCTCTGGAGGTGGGGAGTGAACCCAGAGAGCGCTCTCTTTCTGGGCTGCCCTAGATTAATTAAAACAAAACAAAACAAAACTGCTCTTTGTAAAGGAACACTTTTGAGGAATGCTTTCTCCAATGCTCCCTGGGCTTGGGAGAGAGCGAGGGGAAAGCCGGAGCCTTTAGTAGCCGAACTGGCTCAGCCCCAGCGCAGTGCCGGCCACCTACCCTAACTGGGCACCCTGCGGTCTCTCAAGGGCCCGCTGGCCTCTCTGGAGGACAGGGCCACTTGAATAGCTTCAGGCTGTGCCTGACTCCCTGCTCTGGGCTCTGGGCTTCTACCTGCAAGTGCTACAGCCCAGAGGAACCAACACCTGGAAGGCCCTCCTGCTGGGAGGATCCAGCTGGCTGAGCTTCTGAGCAGCAGCAGGAGGTCGTTCTTTGCGGGGATTTAGGCGTAGATCAGTGTCTCCTGGATGGTAGCTAGAGGCCAGGGTGGAGGTCAGTGGAAGTTCCGGTCTCTGGGACCTGGGGAGGAAACAAAAGCATCTCAAGGAGGACAGAGAAGGGGGGTTCTCTCTTGAATCACCTCAGCCCCTAAAGCGGCTTCCAGGGGAAGGTTCCTGCCTCCTCCTCAAAAGTCTGACCTTGGCATTAGACTTTTCTCTGCCCAGCACTGCAGCTTCCTCCCCAGGCTGACCTCTCCCCTGGCCACTTGATGAGCTCATCTCCCACTTGGGTCCTCATGCCTCTGCACCTGCTGTTCCTTTGCTTGCCTGGCCCTCTCTCCCCTCCCCTACTTCCCACATTGCCACCTAGCTCACCATGGAAGCAGTTCAACTAAAGGCCACCTCTGGGAAGCTGGCCCGGGCACTGCACCCACCCCTCCCCATGCTCCCACCAAGGTCTGATTTGCACCTGTGGAGAAGGAAGATATTCTGGGCCGGGCGGCCTGTGTCCCTCTCAAGGTAGATTTCAGGGGATGGTTGCAGCCCATGCCTGCCACTCCTTGCAAGTGCTAAGCTGGTGCTCCTGCCCTGAGGCCAGAGGGCTCCAGGAAATCTCTAAGCCCAGGACAGCTCTCATCCTCAGGCCTGAGCTTCCCGTTAACCTGGGCAAATTGTGGGAGTCTCTCCCCATCAACACAGAGTGTAGTGACCTCTGTGGGCAGTGGACCTGGGCAGTTGGGCCATCTCCATGATCTTGGGGGTAGTGGGTTGACTGTTACCTTTGCCAAGGGCAGGTGAGCAACCTTTATCTTAAAATTGCACTTCAGCTAAGGAACAAGCAGAGTTCCAGAACTATGCTGGGTTCCCACGACTGGCAGCTCACTAGAGAGCCTGCACTCTGGTAAAACCGAGCACTTCACAATGACTTCTCTTAATACTTAGAAACCTCTATGCCCTTCCTGGTCTGGGCCCTGCTTCCTGCTTTCATCTCCAATAATCCTGCTCAAATTAGAACCTGCAGTGGTTCTCGGGCTAGCCTGCTCAGAACTTCATCCTCTTAGGAGATTCCTCTCCAGCTCTGGCCACCTGGTTACCTCCTCCCTTCTTGCCTTAAGAGTACACATCAGTCACCTCCTCCAGGAAGCCTTCCTTCTTCCTCCCCTCACAGGCAGAGTGATTGCCACTACCTGATCTTCCCTAAGAGCAGAAGCTGTGTTCAGGGGACAGTGTCAGGAACTCAGGGAGGCTTTAGACACCCAAAGAGCTTAGACCTGACTTCAAGGCCCCAGGTTCCAGAACTTCTGTGAGTCTCAGACTGGAGCTGGTTCCCTAGAGAGGGTTTGGTGTTGGTCTCTGAGAGAATTGTGCCGCCTGTTGAGTAGCACCAGGTAGTGCTAAGTCCCATACCAGCCCCCTCCCCCCCATCCCACTTTGCTTCCGCTTTCCCGCAGCTGGGAGCCTTCCGAGCTACAGCTATGCTGGAGGCTGGCAGCCCCGCAAAGCAGCTCCTAATGAGAGTTAATTAGCTAGAAGGAAAGAGCCTCACCCACTCCTAAACTGTTGCCTAAGTGCAGCAGCCATAGGGGGGAGGGCGAAGGGAGGGGAGGGGAAGGGAATATGCTCCAGAGACCTGGGGGTGGGGGGCCCTTGGGCTCTGAGGACAGAGCAGAAGGTGAAGACCGAGCTGCTGATATGCCCTGCTCTTGGCACTGGTGCTCTTGGCAGCGTGAGACACCCACCTGCTCTGTCTGAACCAGGCTTTCCTTAACTCCCCAATGCCAGGGGTGGGCTAGAAAATGTCTAGGGTTTCCTTCCTCTAGGCTAGCTTGCTTTTCTCATCCATGCCTTCCCCCACCCCCAGACAGCCTCCTTCTTCCCAGCAAGCTTGTCACCCCAACCCCACTGTGTGGAACAAAACAGCAAAGCCTATTGCCAACGCTGGGATGGGGCCAGAGGTGCCCTAAGCGGGGAAGTCCAGCCGTAAGGGGAAGTGCAGGTGCACCTGTCTTTGAACCAATTCAGTGGTCTTGGTGGTGGAAGGTTTCCCAGCGAGGGCTACAAGCCTCTTCATCTTCATCTTCATCTTCATCTTCATCATCTTCATCTCTCTCTCTCTCTCTCTCTCTCTCTCTCTCTCTCTCTCTCTCTCTCTCTCTCTCTACGGGTCTCCTTATTCAAGATACACTCTCTCTGTGCCTCAGTCTCCTCAGATTTCAAGTGCATAGTAACACCTCCACAATCGGGTAGCAGTGAAGACTATTCTAAAAGATGATGCTATTACACAAATGCCCAGCAAAGCCGGACACATGGTCAGAGCTGAATGAATGGTCTCAATGAGAAGCAAGGGCTAGGGGGTCACACACTCACGGAATTGAACACAGGGAAGGGTGAGGCGAACAGATAGGAAATGGGGAAATGAGAGCGAGAGCAGTCATGGGAAATTAGGAAAGGATGCCAGCTCAGGTCTCTCCCCGCCCCCTCCACTCAACCACAGGGGCAAGCCCAGGAACAGGAAATCTTGCTCACAGATTGGCATGGACCATGTGGATGAATATTCTTTTTCTGCATGTCTGCACACTCCCCAGTGGAGGAGAGAGTCCTGTGTGCATGTCTGGGTCCAAGTCAGGGTCTGGGCTACTTGCTCACCTTGCTTGACACAGTGTTTCCCACCGTGCCCAGCACAGAGGCACAGAACGTGTCCTGTGATGGTGTCAGGAGAGAAGCCAAACTGTGTGACTTGACTGCAGGACTGACCCTCCTCCCCTCCCCCTAGTAAAAATGCCTGCCTTTCAGGGACACCTCCTGGACCTCCCAGCCCCCACCCCCATGGCTGACACTCTGCTCACACAGGGGACCTTGCCCTTGAGCTCAGCCTGACCCTCGGAAGTCCCAACCTTGACCCTGGGATTGCAGTGTGCAGGGTCAGGAAAGAAGAAGCCGAGGAGATCAGATGCCTGGGGTGGCGTTCAGATTCCTTGCTGGATCTTCTCATCAGACAAATGCTTTCCTGGGTGGAGACGAGGCTGCCTGCATTGAGGCAACACAGGGGAGATGAAGTCAGGAAGGAGAATGTCATCACTGGAGGGAAAGGTCTACCGTTTGTGTGGCTGTAGCCAGAGCTAGGAAGGTCTTTGTTCAGCTTAATAAATTCTGAAGAAGTCACGGAAAAGAGCTGGGTGAAGCACCCGATTAACCCCTGCCTGCCCAGAGCCGGCTGCAGCCTGATCTTCAGGGTTTCACTTGAAAGCACTTCACCTGCAAAGGGTGTCTGACCCCAACCATCAAGTCTCACCCTCCGCTGACCCTTTAAACTTTCCTATCAGATTACAGGCTGACTGCAGCTCTGCCGGATGCTAAGACCCACGAGGGGCTGTCCGCAGCTCTGTTCCTCACAGCGCACTCCGTGCCTGGCACAGTGCCAGAGCTGGTGGATGTATGTGTTCCTTGAAAGAACAAGCCAGTGAATGCCTGAGCAGGCAGGCAGATGGATGGAGAGGTTCGTGGTGGCATTGCAAGTGCATTCGCTTGGTGCCCAGACCGGGGCCACAAGGTGTCTGCCTCACTTCCAGCAGCCTGTGCAGTGCCTGAGACAGCATCTGGAATAGGCATTATGTCCTGAATGAATGAATGAATGGATGGATGGATGGATGGGTGGATGGATGGATACTTTGGCAATGGCACTCCCTGGCCTGGATGTTCTGGAGTGCAGCTTGACATAGAGCTCGTCTCTAAATCAT